GGATTAACTAGTCATAAAAGAAAAATCTATAACTTTAAATCTACCCATGCACTGGTCCTCAAATTTTTACCAGAGTTCACACATGCTAAGATTAGTTCACCACAAAATTTCATAATTTTTGGAGCACAGGAACTCTAGATATAAAATAAACAAATTTGAATGTATTCAAAAGCACATTTCAAATCCCTATTTAAATCTCCAGAAAATTCTACTGTTGAACCCAAGAACATATTTTTCTTAAAAACTACATTTCCTAAGGAACACAACCACCATATTTATTTCACAATTTTGGAGCTACCAAACTGAAGATACAAATTTCACAAAACAAATCAAAACTGGATTCAAAATGAGTTAGCCTACACTACTTACATCGTTGGACAGTGGGGACCCACCGGTCGGGGGACCCCACGCGTCGCCGCTGACACGGAGCGGAGCAGGGCAGCGGCGCTGCAAGCTGTTGTGTCAAGCGCTGGCGAGAGTTCGCCGACGGCGAACTCGCCCAAGGCGGTGACATCATCACACGATGATCTACTCGACTTCACGCATCGATTGAGCTACTTGGGTGGCTTTTCATCGGAGCTAGCGGCTGGCGGGCGGCGCCATGGCGGGGTGGAGGTGCGGGTCGACGGTGAAACGCCGTGTGGGCTACGGTGGTTCAAATCAACGCGTGGACAAGCATCTATGAACGCTGGGGACCTAGCGCGCTTAGCTACCGGAGCGGAGGAGTATCAGTGCGGCGTGGCCCACGACGACGGGGGCTCACGGCGGAACTCCGGCGAGCCTACACGCTACATTCTGCGGTGGCTTACCGGGCTTTGTCGGCGACACGGGAGAAACAATGGGGTGTTGGGGAGACGGTGGAGCTATCACGGTGGTGCGGAGTGGCGAACGAGCTGCGCGCTGCTATGGCGACGGCGGCGGAGCGGTGGGCGCCGGCGGTCGCCGCTGTGAGGAAGAGAAGGCGCCGGAGCGAAATGGGAGCGCTTGGAATGGCTCGGGCGGCGCCGGCGACGTATAAAGCGGCTGGCGCGCGGCGGCCTCAAGCTTGGTCGGGGCGCCGGACGCGCGACGTCGCCGGGGACACGCGGCGCGCGAACTCTGCCGTCGGCCATCGAACGCGCGCTCAGCGTCGTTCGCCACGAAACACGATGGCCGAGCCTGACAGCGCGTTTTCAACTTGATTTACCGGCTAATCGGTGGCTCCTTCGTGCAAACTTACTGAATAGAATTTGTAGACCCATGTACCAGCTTCAAATGTTGTTCAAGGATCGCATTCTAATTCTCACCCGAACTCAAGTTATAATGCCCTGAAGGTCAGCTTGTCAGGCTGTCAGGGTTTCACGACTTAGCAAATTTCGTTAAGTGTTGAAATCAGGATTTTGATGATTCTTGTGATCCAATTTCAAACATGTTAGGAGCTGAACCATGTGATGACCCAAAAATAAAAGTTGTTCCTTATGTCAAACACTACAACTTTGCTTTAGTGAACTCCTCCATGCAAGGTCTCTAACACCTAGTTCAACTTTAGTCAAACATGTCACTTTGAAATCATGATACATACACAAACCATGGCTAAATGACCAAACTAGCCTTAGCACTAAATACCAAAGTTGTTCCTAATGATATCCTAAGCATGTTTAAACAATTTGCAAGGTCATTTAAGCATTTCATGTAGTAGTCACTCATATAGCTATTCAGGTCAACACACGAAATATCACTTAAGTGCTTGATCATGAAATGTGGCCTTCATGAACAATGTTTCTTTTGTTAACCTAAGTGTAGCTAAAGTGTTATAGTGACCAACATTACACACTAGCATTTATTTGCACATGATCATATGCATATGTTCCAAGAAATACGAGATAACAAGCAATGCTTCATATGTTTCGATCGAATGTTTCAATTGTAAATGATGATTTATGAATGCTTGATGCTCATGCTTATGTTATGCAAGTCAAGTTATGCAAAGCTAACACCCGAGGTGTTACAGTGATGCCTTTGGCAGTAGTCTCGGTCTCTGGATATATATATTTTTCAACTTAATTTACTAGTTGTTATATATATATATATATATATATATATATATATATATATATATATATTTCTTTCCATATTAGGGCACGCAAGCCCAATGCAACGAATCTTATAAAGACATTGTGTAATTTGCGCTATATATTTTTCCATATACTCTTATAAAGACATTGTGTAATACTATATTAGCACAATGCTATATATTTTTTTCCATATTAGGCCTTGTTTGCATGTTATCAGATTAATCTCAATCCACATGTGTTGAGGTGGATTTTAGTTCAAGTTCTACTCCAATCCACTTGAGCACATGTGGATTGATGCCAATCCGACCACGTCCAAGCAAGGTCTTAGGGAATATGTACTGTATCGGCAAGCATCTCTTTAGAAGCTCAATCTACAATAAAAAAATATTTGAAGGCGCTTATTAACAAGTCAGGAGAATCGGTTGTGGCCATTGCGCCGCGTGTGGAGACCTTTCCGGGTGCCTGGCTTTAGCAATCATACGGGAGCCGGTCCAAGCGTCGCTGCCTCACGGAACGGCGACTCCATTCACGAGCACCCCAAAACGTACGAGCTAGACTCTCCACCGTGGCAGAAAAACGATTTAACTGTACATAAACAGTCCATAAGCATCTAGCGTTGTACAAGCTCTTACAATATCATGTGTATATATATGGGAAAAAAAAACGTAGCGAGCATATCGGATAGGCGCCCACGTTGTGCGAAAGCCAATTCATAGAGAGGGAGAGAGAGGAAATATACGAAAGTCAAGACCAGTTTTCTATGATATATAAGGAGGCCTTATAAATTATGGATGCGCATTAATGTCCATAATGTGCCAGCTTGCATGGAATCTTTATATAATATTTAATCTTCTAAGCACTATGTCAACTCTTGATGCCCTAGTATAATTAACATATACCCACTTTGTCGTTGTTTGATCAATGTGCCGGCCGGCAAGGGGCGGAGCTTGCTAAGAAACGCTGGGGTAATGGTCACTTTGGAACAGTGCAGAACATCGATTCTCACGGATTTACCTGAAATCTGTCGTCGGTTCCAGTTGAAACCGATGCTCAGGCCTTGCTCTCCCACTGCGAGGTGCGTGCCGCCGAGCTCCTCTCCTGTCCTGACCAACTAACTGGATCAAAGGACCAAGGCGATCGAGAAGCAGCTTTAATTTGCATCCTGCGTGCAGGCCGCCCTCCATCTTCCAGGTTAGTGACAGAGATCGTTTTACTCTTAATAATCCGTGCTGTTCTAACGCTCTGCTTATTAGGAAACGCTTGTACATGCTCAATATCCCACTCGTTGTTGCGACTTAAAGACGCGCTAGAGGCAGAACATATGACAGGCAGTTAGGCACACCACTATACTGCACCATGCAGTGCTTTCCCTTCTTTTCCCTCTTTCATTCGCGCACAAATAAACAGGAAGCAAATTGACATCTGTTTCTGAATTTCTATTCAAAACGAACAAGAGATCTGTATCTGTATCTGTATGTGTGTAGATTTAACAAACGAACGAGTTGCCCAGAGAAGACACGGCCACCGGCGGGCACCGAGAAACGGCACCGGAGTCACTGCGCGTGGTCGATCGACTTCGTTGCTTGAGCGCGACGGACAAGTGGGCCGTCGGCGAAGACGGACGCAGCCCATTGCAGCGGCGCACTACCAACATCACCGTTACAGAAGGGGATTTATTTGCTACGCAAAGTAGTGATTTATTTGAACTAGAAACACGATTCTAGGAGACAGAATCTTCTATTAACAGAGATGGTTGCAAAGTATCGTGGTCTTCCAAAATACCAGTGATGTTCTTGAACTACAGAAACACTATTCTAGGAGACATGCTCTTTTATTAAGAGAGATGTCTAGAAAGTATCATGGTCTCCTAAAATACCTATCTGAACCGGCCAGTCCATTTATGCAGACAGTCCAAAAACAACCAAGCCTGTAGATGAATTTTCAGAGGCCGGATTCTTACAAAGGTCATCTTAAAAAATGACCTTCAATATAGGCATACCTCTTTTTTCTTTGCAAGTATAGAGGCATACCTCTTTAAGTGTACTGCCTGTATAAATTGATTAACACACGAAGAAGTATTTGTCAGTCGTTTGTTACAAAAAAATTATAACTTTTGGGAAGACGAATTTTACGTCAACATTGTAGAGCTCAACAAGGCCTAAATCTTTATAGTTGACAAGGTTTTTACATGAAATTATTTAGACTGTCAGAATTTAGTTTTTAATTCTCAGATTTTATAAACTACACTTGCCTTCAACTCCCATCTCAGCCGATTGCGGGTGAGTATTAAGTTGCATGCATCGACCAGTTAACTCAAAAGCTTAAGCTGATGGAGAGAGGTGGGCAATTCACTTATATTCCAACACTCCCCCTCACGTGGAGGCTCTCTCGGGCCTCAAACGTAGAATAGGAGCGAGCAGCAGTTATTTTAGTTAATTGCGCTAACCAGGATTCAAACTCGAGACATTTGGCTCTGATACCATATTAAGTTGCATGTACCGACCAGTTCAACCCAAAAGCTTAAGCTGACGGAGAGAGGTGAGCAATTCACTTATATTCCAACAGTGAGAAATAAGCGCCAATAGCATAATGCAATAGTGCTTGAAGCACAATTACTACCTATTTTATAATCAAGTGTTATTGAGTAACTTCTTTTACACCTGCATGCTTCCTTCTAGTACCCAATCCCAGAGTAAATGGGATTTAATTTGGAGCTAGTTGTAGAAGCCACTCTCTACGGTATTAGTGTATCTACCAATTTTCTTTATTAGTTTGGTTTTATCCTTTTATCTCTCATTATGTATTTTTCAGTTCGGTTTTATATATTTTTTATCTCTCATTATGTCTTTTTCACCCTATATATATGCAGACTGTGTAGAAGGGATTACATCTTGGCATATCTATATAATAGAGATGTTTTGCCATTCTAGAGCGGCACCAAAAGTCATGTCACTAGAAACATTGAAAGAAATTACAAACAATTTCTCCATAGATCGAGAACTTGGTAGTGGGACGTTTGGAATAGTTTACAAGGTAAGCATGCATGCATTTGTTCTCAGCTACAACTTGCTAGTTGCTATAAAGTATTGTGTTCTGCCAACAAAATGTTCACCGCAAAGCCCTTTTAGCTCAGCTTCAATTCAATAGGCATATAGCTAGTTCTTTTTCTAAACAATTGGAATAATCCCGAATAATAGTTGGAGTCATATTTTCTAGAAGAAATTCCATCTATAAACATGGCATGTATACAATTTCTTTGACATGGCACACTTATATGGCTGGTGGCCACCAATGTTGGTTGAGCGACTATTAGGGTGTTTGGTTTGAGGAATGACTCCGTTCTAGACGAGGTGGTGTATCATGAGTTCATTTATCAAATTTAGTGATTTTGATTCCATTTTTTATAATAATAAAAGTTATTAGCTTGTAAGAAATAAGGTGATGATGGATCAACCCATTCTGTTCCATAAACCAAACAAAAAGTTGAGGATTGAGAAAATGATGGACTAACTTATTCCTCAAACCAAACACCTTATATATGTCATGATCAAGACCTTGGTTGGGCTGCTACACATGATAACTTCAAAATTTTGGTTTTTCATTAAGATTGCAATGGGAATGGCTCCACAGAACAAAATCACACATACACGTCAGCTTTGCCAGTAAGTACGAAGGGCATCTTCAGGGGTTAAAATTTTGAGACGATAACACATCCAGTACGGGAGAGATTTTTGGTGCTGAAACCAACAAATAGGCCCTACTTTTGTTATATTGTAAGTATCAATAGTATTGCAAAAGATCCATCAGTGTCAAGTGTAAGATATTTTGATTAGGGAGTGCAAGATGGGGAAGAAATAGCTGTGAAACAACTTCAGACTCAAGGACATGATGATCACGAGGAGTTCATGAAGGAATTTGAGAACCTTTGGAGACTCAGGCATCCAAATGTTGTACAACTACTTGGCTACTGCTACGAAATAAAACGTGAAGTTGTTGCTCTAGGTGATGGAAGATTTGTTTGGGCTGATAACATCTATAGAGCTCTGTGCTTTGAGTATATGCACAATGGAAGCCTAAGGAAACATCTTTACGGTGAGATAGTCCTATAATGTTTCGCATATAAACTGATTATAATTACATTTATATATTTCTATTCATTTATTTATTCAGATGAATACCATGGACATGACTGGCAGACACGGTTCAAAATTATCAAGGGTACCTGCGAAGGTTTAAAGTACCTTCATGAGGGACTTGAACGTCCTATGTACCATTTGGATTTAAAACCCGAAAATATACTACTAGATAAAAATATGGTGCCAAAACTTGCTGACTTTGGCTTATCAAAGCTCGTCCACAACAACCAGACTCAAGTTACACAAAGTTGTATAGGAACGAGGTAACTTTGTGTATCCATTTTGTGTCAAATCATTTTGTGGACTTTGTGTAACTTGAGTCCATTTCGTAAAATCATTTATTTTATATGTTTTGACTAAACATTGGTTTAATAACACTATTGTATCCATCATTCATGATATCATGCGCAGGGGATACTTGCCTCCAGAATACATCGAGGACAATTTAGTTTCCAATAAGCTAGACATTTTCAGCTTGGGTGTTGTTATGATAAGGATAATTGCTGGATTTGAAGGCTACTTCAAGAAATTTCAAATGTCTTCCCAGGCATTCATTGAAAGTGTAAGGAATTAATTTCCTGATACCAAGACATCCCAGTCTATGCAAACTTACGCACACTTTTCAAATTTCTGTTGCATTTTGGTGCACTTATTATGTGTATCAATCTCGTATTATAGGTCTATACAAATTGGAGAGATAGGCTGAAGGGAATGTTAAGTTGCACATCACTGGAAGCTGAATGCCATCAAGTGAAGGGATGCATTGAAATTGCAATAAACTGCATCGATGCTGACCGACAAAAGAGGCCTACAATTGGGGAGGTCGTATGTAGGCTGAACGAATTAGAGCATGTGATAGATATGTCTGCAGCACCATGCCAGCTGCAGCAAATCAGTGCAACCGTGGGACCTGGAGAGAGTAGCAGTGAGGTAAGTTGCTGATGTATATATATTACCCTATAAAACATTTGCTAGTTCCGAGGAAGCAAAACATGCTTAGGTATCCACTTCGAGATGATGGAAGTCCAATAACTGATCTCTAATACATACTACAATTTAGTTTGCAAGAGACAAATCCAAATTTTGCAGTTGAAATTATAGTTATGAATGAGAAATGCTTAATCTTGAGCATGAAGTGGTATCGATCCGGCATGCACACACACAAAATGACAAAAGAAAAGATTGGAAAATGAAAAAAAAAACTAGAAGCCTGTGAGGTTAACGAGCAACTTGAACTTAAGTATACATAATCAAGCTCTGGATATGTAGATCTAGTAGTGGAATTGATTGAACAGTACTAAATTAAACCATATTTTCTCCCAAGCATAACAACACAATTAAATTAATTATATAAAAATAAACATTTTTTTGACAGACCTACCAGTAATAATAATAAAAGGAATCTAACCGAAAGTAGTCACACAATGCAAGTTTTCTTATTAAAATTGCAGTATTAAAATCTAGGCGTCTTTTTACTTATTTTGGTAGAATATATTGTGAAAATGCAATTTACAGATCATTACTTTGAAGATGTATATGTGCTCTATTGTTTTATACCATGTGCAAAATGGGACTTATTACTTGGTAGTTAATTGAATGTATACCTCAGCTATATTAAAATTGAGAGTGTGTTGTTTACGTGTATCAGACCTACTATATATACTAACTACATACCCATCAACCTGTGCGTTCGCACAGGCTAATTTACAAAGTTTTTTTAATAGTCGTACCATATATTTCTTAGGACTATAGCAACCATGTGTGGGCTAGTAGGTAAACAGGTTTTTTAGATCATTATGTGATATTTGTATAAAGGATACTAACTCTAGCGTGAACGCTGGCCTGTTGAACTACTATATATATAATGATCCAAACACCTGAGATTATGAGTAGGATAATAATATTTTAACCACTGAATTATAATGACACTCACATATATCACCATCGAATTGGGTGATGTGATTATGCAGTCAAACGTGTGATGGTTGGTTAGTTATGGAAGTACAATTCTGCATACCCCATTGCAAAAGTGGAGTAATGCTTCAGGTCTAACCATTTTTATTCACTTTTGTAAAAACACCCATCGTAGAAGAGGAGAAATGTATCTATAATCCCTGTAAAACCCACTGTAAAACTATATTCACTAAAACAAAACGTGTAAAAACTGTAGTTTGGAAATTTTAGCGCTGCATATTTTTTCCCCATAGCTAGTGTCTAATCTCCCATCCATATATAACAGGCACCACCCAATCTAGAATGCGGTGGTTTCCAAATCAAACATCCCATGGTTCATGAAAATCTGATAAAATTTGAGTGGTGGATCATTGGTCGCAGATACACGTCCCCACGTCTAGCAAGGTGCTGGAAATGCAACCGCTGGAGCTCGGCCTGCCCTTCCAGCCATACAAGCGCAACGGGGTCCAGACTCATGGATGCGAGGAGCCCAACAAGATCCTTGGCAAGGTTGATGGTAAGAATTTACAAAGAATACTTTCTAAAATGCAAATTTCATTTTTTTTAGTACTGGTTGATGAGTGTATAGCAGAGAATTAGAGGTAGAGATAAAATTAGAGATAGAGATACACACTACTCTTCCCATGCTTTCATGTTTTGCTAAAGAAAATTCTTTCTTCTTACTTTTCCCATTCTTTTGTCGTCGGCATGCAGGTGTGTACCAAAGCAGCCTAGACGTACAGCAACGGCATGCAACGGTGTCCGGCTATAGGGACCCGCACACGGTCATCAACAAGCTGAACAGGACCAGCGAGCCGGCTCAGCTGTGGGGTTCTTCTTCCTCCATGCCCGACGTGGTGAGCCAGATTCAGAAACTGGAGCTTAATGCGGTGCAGAAGGGGCTGAATGTGCCGCAGCAGCTTCAGTCGATGAGCGGCAAGATGCCGTTCTCGGCGGCGGCGCCTGAGGAGGACCCCGTGTCCGTCGTGTTCAACCTCCCCAGGAAGGACAACGAGATGCATGTACAGGGAAACGGCAACGGTGGCGGAGGAGCGAGAAGCGAGAAGCACGAAGGAGAACAACACGGTGGTGGAGCTGGAGGCGTCCACGACAGCAGTGGCGGTGGTAAAAATGGAAACAGTGGGCAACCGCAGAACACAAAAGGTGTCGCCCCAGGCGCCACCGCCGCCGTTGGCGATGGTCCGGGCCCGTTAGGTGGCATGCCGCCGCTGGTGGCGGGCATGATGAGGCCTAACATGAGGGTGGGCAGTGCTGATTTCCCCGGTATGTACCAGATGGGCGGCGGGTTCATGGACCATCCCCATGGCCACAATGGCAGCATGCAGCCGGGTAGTGGCAACGGCGGTGCCTCTCAGGGCATGCCGGCCGGTGGGATGCCAGCGTCGGGATCCTACCAGGGAGGTGCCAGCGCAGGTAGGAGCGAGTCTTCCGGGCCGGAGATGCGGCAGGCTGCCGCGGCGACCGGGAACCTTCTGGCGCTGCAGCAGCAGCAGTACTACATGGCCTTGATGCAGCAGCTGGGCCTGGGCATGTCGTCCGGCAGGATGGAGACGTTGTTGACTGCCATGGCGGGCGGGAACCTGATGCAGCAGCAGTACTACACGGCCTTGATGCAGCAGCAGCAACGGTACATGCCGTCGCCCTGGGCGGAGACGCTGAAGGCTGCCATTACGGCCGGGAACCTTAGGGCCCAGCAGGGGTTCATGGCTTTCCTGCAGCAGCAACAACGGGACGTGTCGACCAGGCAGGACATGCTGCAGGCTGCCATCGCGTCCAGGAACCAGATAGCCCAGCAGTACACGGCCGCCATGCACCAGCAACAAGGGGACATGTCGTCCTGGCAGGAGACACTGCTGGCGGCCATGGCGGCCATGAACCAGGGTTCTGGGATTCAACTAGAGAAAAACCTTGGACCAAACCGAAATGGGTGAATTTCATAAATTTGAGAGTAGGATTCAGTTTGTGTTGAGTGTTCACTAGTGAAAATATTTATGTTCAGACAATACTTGGGTGAATTTTAGCCAAAGTTTGACCTAAAGGTACAAGAGGAAACGAATGGATTGTAGTTTGATAGTGTTAAACTTAGGCTTAATTAGGATCTTATTTAGCCTAACACATGAACACACATAAATCAATTAATTAACTCTTAATTGCACATTGATCAGAGAGATGTAGATGTGCACCTAATTTTTTTTTATAGTTCTAGGGCATTACACCCCAGCCTTTCAATTAGCCTTTCAATTAATATCAAAAGACCAAATCCGTTTACAGCACAGTTTATCCAGAGAAAAACCCCAGCTCCATCCGGAAGCGGGAAAAACACCGAAGGGTCTACCAACCAGGATAACAAGACCTGATGGAGCTTAAAGACCAGACACAAATTCAGCTAACAGAGCACGACTAGCCACCCCTATTACATTCTCAGAAAATCATCATTCAGAGCCCTCCACCATGGTAGGCTCGGGGAGTTCAGCAACACCGAGTGGTTCCCCGGCGCCTGAAAACCATCCTCAGGGTCATCAGCAATCACACCTCTGAAGAGCTTTGCGCCGTGCTTCTGGGAATGTCGGGTAGCCAAGACACCATCCTTGCTGAAGTCTTCAGATTCCTCAAGAAACCATATCCAGTAGTCCCCTTTTGTCCGCCAGGCACAAAACTGTCCAGTTCTGAAGGAGCCCATGAATTTTGTAGAAAAGAATATCCATACTTTTCCATCCAGTTCTCTGAAAACAAAGCTCATTCCTGAGTTTCCAAATAGACCACAGGACAGCAGAGGTAATCATATTTACTAAGCTATTTTTCTTGTGACTCAGCCAAAATTTTCCTATAGTAATAATATCTACTCCTACATGAATTCCTAGAATCACAGTCCAACATCTACTAGCAACAGCACAATCAAAAAACAGGTGCCAGCAAGTTTCATTTTCAGCACAGAACCAGTGGCGGAGGGGGGGGGGGGGGGTGGCACGGGGGCCTTGGCACCCCCTGACGTGCTGCTAGTCTCTAGTATATACTAGTTAATATCCATGCATGTATGCTGTTAATTAGGCTCCTCCCATTCATTCCAAACGTGTGTATAAGTGTATTTGAGGTTCAATAAGAAGCAGCCCATTTACACGAACATGTAATTGCTGCTGCTCCCTTCATCGACTGAATATGAAGCGTTGGGCCTTCCTTCGTTTCTTTCCTGTTCAACTGTCCGTCTTCTCTTTTGCTTGACTGCTTCACCAGTTGGTGGACATCGCCACGACGGTACGGTTGGAGTGGGAGGCCGAACGTGAGACGCCACGCCATGTCGCCACCGCTACCCCAAATTGACGCCGCCGAGGGCCGGCTGCTGACCTGCCGTCCAAATTGCCTTCTGTACCGGTCAGGCCACCATAAGCAGTAGGTAATCCTCAATCCATAACCATGCAGTGTTATACTTTTATCTAGTAATTAACGGTCACTATTATTCTTTTATCGAATTGCCTATGATCTTATTGGTAGTCGTAGAGTTAAATTTAAGATAATAGATGTGCAATTTTCTTTTGGTTAATATTTGTGAAATATATATTACTATTATATATGTGACTAAAACTTGGTATGGTTTACTTGTTCTAGTCTTGTACATGGCCCCCCCTATACTCAATTCCTGGCTCCGCCACTGCACATAACAGACAAGTTCCATCGTCCACTTTTCTTCGTTTAGCTAAGTTATCTCTAGGAGGACTTTGTACAGCGATTGGGAAGAATAGGTGCTTTTAGAAGTGAACTTCCAAATCATTTCATCTTCCTCATCAGAAAGGTGGACTGTACAAACTAATTCAACTACTTCTAACCAGGACTGGTATAGATCTTCACTTAAATTCCTCCTAAAGGTGCACCTCAAGTTGTAACCGTCCCACAAATCTGCAACTGTCTTACCATGCTCATTAATGATTCTATAAATTGGCCAAAACTGTATGGCTAAACTAGAGGAACCTAACCAGGTGTCTTCCCAAAACCTCACCTTTCTTCCATTTCCCACTTTCCAAAAATATCCCATCTTAGCAGCCTGGGTGGCCCACATGAAACCCTTAAAGAAACTAGACACATTTTTAGTTCTGGAGAGCAGCACATTCAGCTTTAGAGTGTCATATTTAAAGTCTATTAACTCTTTCTAGAGTTTATTCCTATCTGAGTTATATCTTTTAAGCCAAGACGCTAAAAGACATAAATTTATTTCCCTCAGATTAGGAATCCCTAAGCCACCATACTCCTTACACATGGAAACTAGCTCCCAGTTAGCTAGGTGGTATCTATGCTTATTTTCAGAGTCATCCCAAAGAAAATTACCCATGTGGGTGTTTAACATTTTTATTGCCTACTTAGGAAACTTAATAAAGGATAAAAGATAGACTGGAATACTAGAGAGGCAAGATTTGATTAAAACTACTCTAGCTGCTAGAGATAGAAGCCTCCCTCTCCAGCCTGCAATTTTATTCATGATCTTATCCACTAGTGGTTGTATGTCATCTCTGGTTAAATTGTCAAAATGTAAAGGAATTCCTAAGTATTTAATTGGAAATTTGCCAACAGGACAGGAGAAAATATGTGCTAATCTATGCACTTCATCAGCTTCCAAATTAATTGGCACCATCTCACTTTTGTGGAAATTGATTCTCATTCCTGAGACTTGTTCATACCACATAAGTATATATTTAAGGTTTTCCAACACAGAGTCCTCTGCTTTGGAAAATAAGATTGTATCATCTGCATATTGCAGAGCTACAATCCCCCCCCCACTCTAAAGTCTTCTAACAGTCCTGTCACAATCCCCTATCCACAGCTTTACTAAGAATCCTACATAAGCCATCTCCTACCAAATTAAAAAGGAATGGGAACAATGGGTCTCTTTGCCTTAACCCCTTTCCAGGTTTAAAGTAAGAGCTTTCTTCCCCATTCACCATAATACCCAAAGATCCTCCCTCAACAATATGTTTAAACCAGTTTATCCAAACTGGGTCAAAACCTCTGGCTTCTAACATATCAAACAGAAAACTCCAAGACACCCTGTCATATGCCTTTTCATAATCCAATTTAAGAATAATCCCTGGTTCACTACTCTGATGAACACTGTGAACCAACTCATGAGCTACTACCACACTCTCCAAAATGTATCTACCCTTAATAAAAGCTGATTGGGTTGGGGCAACTATCCGTTGCACCATAGAGGTCAATCTAAGAGTTAACAACTTTGAAAAAAATTTAAAGCTACAATTTAACAGACTTATTGGCCTAAACAGCTTCATGTTTGTTGCTTCTCCCACCTTAGGAATTAAAGTAATCAAAGCAAAATTAAGTCTCTTAAGGTCAAGCACACTTTTATGAAAATCATCAAAAAGAGCAACCACATCATTTTTAATGAGATTCCAAAACTTTTGGTATAAGAGGAAACATAAGCCATCAGGCCCAGGGGCACCTTCTGCATAACAACTAAAAATAGCTTCTTTAATTTCGGTTTCCGTAAAAGGAGCTTTGAGCAACTCATTTTCATTCCTAGAAACCTTATCCTCTTCCTCCCAAAAATCCTGACCTAGCTTGAAGGTAGAGTCTGGATCTTTAGCAAAGAGGTTCTTATAAAAGTCTACAGCAACTCTCATCATCCCATTCTGCTCATAAATTAGGCCCGTACTGCTTTTCAAACATTCTATCTTCTTCTTCCACTTCTCTGGTTAGCAACAGCCTGAAAGTAAGTTGTATTCTTGTCCCCTTCAAGAATGTTTCTATCCCTAGAATGTTGTCTAATTTTAATCTCTTCAAAAGCCCAGATCTATTCCAACATGTCCTCAATTTGCTCTAACTCTCTCGTCTCATCATGAGACAGATCCCTAATTTCAGCTAGGCCTTCCAGCCTAGTGAACTCCTTAGACAATTATACTCTGGATTTATTTTGGGCTGCCACCTCATTTGCCGCCCATCCCCTAATAATCCTTCTCAAAGTCGTGACTCTAAACTGCCATCTATCTAAACTGTTAGAGAAAGAGCAAGTTCCCCAAGCTTTTTCTTCTACACTACCAAAAGACTCCTTTTCTAGCCACCACTTTTCGAATCTGAACCTTTTTTTTTGCCAAAGCAAGTATTAGCCCCAGAATCTAACACTAATGGATTGTTGTCACTTGGAAATCTGTCTAAAGCCTTAACACTAGACAAAGGAAAGGCATCATCCCACAGACCTGAGACAAAAACCCTATCAATTTTGGCTAAGATGGGATTTCCTGATTATTTGTCTAGGTAAATCTTTTATTATTCGGATTAAGCTCAATTAGAGCCCACTTGCTAATCCAGTTATTAAAACCATCAACCCACCTATGATTATAAACACCATTGCTTTTATCAGAGGCAAACCTAACAAGGTTAAAGTCTCCACCAACCATGGTTGGGTCATTCCAAGAACCCATCACAGTTTCTAATTCATCTAAGAACTCTTGCCTAAAATCATCATAAGCTGGACCATCAACAACCAGTTTCCATACAAAACCATTAGACTTGTTAGCCAGCATCACACTGATAGAAAATTTTAAAACATCACCAACTACCATGTTGAATTTATCCATGTTGGCACCAACCAGGATTCTTCCTGCAGAGCCTTTAGCTTCTAAATGTGCCAGGCAAAAGGAACATTACCAGATAAAGATTTCAGAAAACCCAAAGGGAGTGAGTTTTTCTTGGTTTCCATAATACCTATAAATTCAGCATGAGAATCTTTGATCCTACTAATCAGGGCTGGTACCCTACCAAGTTTACCCAGACCTCTAACATTCCACAACAGACCTATCATTTATACTTTTTCTTATTCTTTTTCCTAGGGCCTACTTTGGACCAACCCAATTCCTCGTCATCCTTAAATTGATCAGGCTTTCCATACTGATCATTCTTCTAAGGTGTACTAGTTCTATTATCTGGTTTC